GCACAAAGTATAGCATTGTGTATGGTTTCGATCCATTTCGGATAGAGTTAGATTGAATGTTAGTTTTTCCGCCTGCCTGTATATGCTGAATAAAAAAAGAAGCAAAAGTGCCGGCTACTGAACGTCCTCCAACGATACCTCACTTATAGCCTCCGCGGTTAGTATAACATGTAATTGTCACTAGAAAACACAAGCTTACGCAGCCGACTATAGTAGCCTTCGGGCAGAGTATGGATGTGTAATGTTATTATACTAATGTTATATCGACAATTACGGCAATTGGAACGCAACTTGTGCAACTTGTGTGCACGAAAGTGTCTAGTGATTTTACAGTTGGAAAGCATCCACAATTACTAACCCTGGGGCTGTAAGAGCTCTTTAATTTATGTTAATTAAAAGTCACTAATTAATTTTAAAAAAGTAGCATAATTTATACACAAAAGAAACAATTTTACAAAGAATCTAAAAATTTCGCTAGATACAGATCTGAAAATAATTTCGTTGGACTCTCCTCCTATTTACGTATAACATGAAACTCAAACATGATGAGTAACACTATAAAAAGTTATGATATTCCAGCAATCGGTTTAAGCGTCTTGGAGAATTATTTATTATCTAATAAAATTATTTCAGAGTTAGCAAAATTTTTTTATATTTTAGCAAAATCGTTCTCTCCGTGTATGTGATTTCGATAGACTCATCATCATGTTCGAGAGGGTTAATATAACTGTAATAACACAGACGCGTACGTGAAAATTCTTGCATCAGATAAATAATTCGAAGAAAAATGATTAAACGCAACTCTCACGTCTCATACGATTCCCGATTCCACGCGAACAGCGATTACAAGTCACGCGTGCTTAAGCGGCATAGAAACGGCGCGAAATTTTATTTCACGTTACATACACAATACGCTTTTACGGTCCCCGTTCTCATTCATATGTATCGCAGCTTTTGAAACCCCGCTCGAACATGCCACTGTAATTCTCTCCGGTGCATTACCCACGAGTGCGTCTCCGTCTGTATGCGCCTTCAATGCACTGGCGAACAATTGCTTTTCGACCCGTGCACCGTGCACCGTGCACCGTGTATATCGGAGTTTAGCGTCGAACCGACAAGTGGAAAGGTCAGTTCTGTATTAATAACTGGCATAACTTTGCGGCCGCGCCATCTTTATCGCAGATCCATTACGTTCGTCTGAACGTGCTGAAAATCGTCCAACTGTTTGGGAACAGAGATTAAGAAGAATTAGAAAGGTCGATGAGAGAGATGCGTAGGACTTTAAAGAATCTTGACTGTACAATATTGGCTGAAAACATCAGCCGAAGAATTAATAAAAAAAACAACAAGAGAATCTTACTCACAGATATTCAAACGTATAATAACAGAACGATCTAGAACATTTTCTTATTTTTATATAATAATGCTTCGAGAATTGATACATGTACATTCTTAAAATTTAATTTGCTTGAGATCGAGACGAAAAAAATATTTTTCGCTTTAATCGCATTAATTAATATGTCTAATTCGAAATAGAAACAGTGCAAGAAAGTGTGACTAAAACGCGAATGAACGGACACGCTCCTTATCCCTTCTCAATTAATTAATTGCATTATTTAATAACGCAGTAATAATATGCGTAATAACGAAGAGGCGTATAATAACAATTGTTCTTGAAAAAAATGAGCAATCGAAATAATTACGCGAGGCCCCGGCCGCGATTTCTCGTGGACAGCTGAAACAACGAAATAATAATGCCGCGGTAGCGAAATAACTCGTCGCGAAAATGATCGAGCCCGGGCCCCCGGGCTCGATCCACTTCCCGTGTTGCGCCGCAGTTAGTTAATATCAATCGCTACGTTGCAATTTTGCGGCGGAGAAATTCAATCGGAATTTCTATCTCGGAGGGAGGATACAGAGGCGCCGCGCCGGCTCTCCGATCTCTAGATCTCTAGAGGAAATACCATAGTATTGGGAGAAAAAATATCCCAGTAATTGCGACACGAAAAATTATTTATTTTATTCGCTAATTACCATTCTTCCGTATTTGTATACGACTTGTTTGTAAATCCACGTCAAAACTAATCGATCAGAAATTCTTCAACCTCAAGTTGTTAACTTTATTGACGAAAAATTGAGTTAAATGTTCAGTATACATACCTCACATTTTTATTTTGAGCTATAAAAATATGTTAACATAGAGATCAATTTTTATCTTAGAAATATTTATTTTCAATACTTATTTTAAAAATTGATTATTTATTGAATTGACAATGAGAATCAAGCAATTTCTTCAAAAAGATTTATATATTCACTATTATATGTGAATCCGATACAAGGAAACAACATCGATAAAAGTATAATTCTACTAGTAGTAGGATTATATGGTAAAAATTATAGTATATACGAATATTGAAAAGGTCATAGCTTTTTATTATCCAGAGGAAACCGCTAAAAAAGATACATCGATACGAGGAAACTCATACGTATTAATTTATCATTATACGAATAAATTTATTACGATAATTTACATGAGCGATTGCGAATATATGTATACATGTATGTACGAGTATGTATCTCTAAAGTTTGCAAAGCATACGCGGAAAATTGAACGATAATGGATGATAAGACGTGTATTTAAAGCTATGGATGGACGATCGCAAAAAGGGATGCACGTGTATCCTCCGCCATATCTCCAAAAAGACAACGAGAAGGATTGCCCGTTACGGACATGCTTCCGCCGGAAGTGAGACGTGGAAGGATGGGAGATAAGTGTTGGGGCCGCGCGACCAGAGCATAACGGAGTGCTACGACGACTACGACGACGAAGGGCAAAAGGACGAAAAGAAAGAATGAGGAGAAGGATAGAGGGAAGAGGAAAAGGAAGAGTGGTGTCGTGACCTTGCGAATCGAGTTCCGCATTGCTGTAGCCAGCAGATTTTTATGGAGCCAGCCACCGCTATAAATGTGGGATATTTTAAAGATCAATAATAAGCCATTAGCCAGATGAGCTTTCATTGTTTTCAATCAGTATGACTGAACTGAGATGAACGCAAAAACCAAATTTTAATTTTACTCGAATAAAATGATCTTTTTTTAGACCAAACACGCGGTAAATTTCTCGGATTTTTTTAATTGTTACTAGTACGTGAAGAATTATATACGTATGCGAGTATAATACTGAAGATGTTGACCGGTAATGATAAACCTTTGCGAGAAAAGTTTTATGCAATGGAAACAAGAGAATGGTAGAGGAAAACGAAGATGACTGAGGTTTGAGTTCCGGGTTGTTGGTTACTAATGGTTCCATTGTAACTAATTGCCTACTTGCGGGAAATTGCTACATTCCCATCTAAATTAGGGGGACCACAGTGTATAACGAAGAAAAGAGTATAGATAAAAGGCAACTGGAAGAATGAATGGAATGAGAAATATAGAAATAAAACGAAAAAGTAATTTTCGAAAATTCAATCAAAAGCTTCGAACATAGTATCCTACTTGCTTCTGACATCGGTAAATTATTCATTAAACCGCCGTTAAATACGTTATACGACATCGGACAAGCGTCGCTTAAATCATTGTTCAAATATCATTTCACAGCCGGATTTGCAGAGCAAACCGTGCATAACGGGCAAGTCCACGACTAAAGGAAAACCACATCGTATACCAACTGTGCGCGAGACGGCAGCAAAGCGAGAAGCAGCATGAATAGCTGGTAGCAACAGGGTCGTTAGCGCAACACGAAAAGATTTGTCTTGACCTTGGTTGCCAGGTTCCGCATTGCTGGATCGCGCCCGGTTAGGGTCCCCGAAGATCACAGAAGGAGGCGAAGTCGTTGCTACCAGCTACCAGCTCATGGACTCGCGCGGGTAATGGCCGACCTTCAACTTGACCGCTCAACTTGAGGAGCGCCCTTCTCCTTCGCTTAGAGTCTTAGAGTGTACTCGCGGAACGCTCGCGTATAATTTTAGAAGCACGCGGGGTCCTTGACACCTCGCCTCAAGACGACGGGCGAGTGGCGACAACCATTGACAACCGCGGGCGCTGCCCCTCCCTTGTCCATTCACTCGCGTCACGTTACTTTTACGGTAAAATTTCACATATAGGATCGATTTCTGCTCGGATAGTTTCTCTCCACTTGCTCGAGTCGTCAATTGACCAATCGATAACAAATCTTTACCTGGCCATTTCTTACATTTCCATACTTGTGTCAATTAATTTTAATCTTCATTTGATCTTTATACCTTTACATATTTTTTTAGTTTTTGATAGTCATATAAAACTGAATAGGGGAGAACTAATAAATTTTCGTAATCCTTATAATTTGGATTTAATTGGATAAACACAATTTATTTAACTATATATTATATATTAATTTACATATAAAACGTGTATAGTTGTCATCTATATACAATAGTTGCCACCACACATTATGTTATTAAAAACTGCTTCTTTTTCTTTAATAGAAACGGTTTTTATAATAATGGCAACTAGCTTGCAAACAAACAAATTAATTATTGCTTATTAGATTTTTTTGGAAATAAATTCCCAAGGAAATCTAATAGGTTAATAATAAATTATTAATTTGTTTGTTTTTGCACATGTCATTTAGAAGTTAATAATCACTTTTTTATTTTTCTATCATCGCTGTACGTGAAATGTTACATTTTTTCCATTACAGAACTTAAAAAAATATTTAATTATGTTTTAAAATTTGCAATAAATTCTTTACAGATTTAAAATGCTAGTAGTATCAAAAATTGTGACGATCAAATTTAATGTGCGAGATTATTATTTTAGATTGATTGTATTGCAAGTCTAAAAGTATAATTGTTATGCAGTCATATATCGATTTGATTGTGAGATAAATGTATTTAAAATATATGTGGAAATATATTATTATCCAATATCTAACTTTGACCGTAATTAGATTCTATCCTAAGATTTTTTCCAATTAAAAAGATATTTTGACGTTTAACAAATTCTCGTTCACATTGCAGATACTCAATCCAGATATCTTACTGAACACCAAAGAGGAAGAATGGAGCAATGTTTTGAGCTTCAGACACAACGTAATTCTGAGAGACCGTCTAATGACGGACGCAGCTCTCGGTGGACCACGGCCGATAAAATCCGAACATAGTTATAGCCTTTTAGCTTCCAGTCCCCCTCCGAGCCCAGCAACGCCAGGAGCTAATCCACATACGCCCAATTCAGGTTCTGGCGCGGTCGGTTCTACCGCAGTGACTACCAATTCCTCCATCGATTTCGCCAATCGATTTCTGGATCATAAATCTCTTGATATTCGTGACAGAATCGATGGTAAGAAAATAATACAGATTTTTAAAAACATAGACAGTTTATCATGCGACATTCTCAAATTCTTTATCACTTTTTTCTCCAAAACTAATTCTTAAGGGCTAAAAGATAAAAAAGGGTATGTGAAAAATTATCACTGAGAATGTTATTTCAGATATGGAAGAAGAATGTTTTCCGGCTATTTCGATAAGCAACACTTCGAACCGCGTCGAATCGTCGTCGTCGTCGTCATCGTCGTCGTCGTCGTTGACATCGTCATCTACCTCGAATATAATCCTCAAGAGAAACGACCTAGTACCTGAAGATAATGAATGTCCTGAAATCAAGGGCGAACCTATCAGCGCCCCGGCAAGTCCTTGTTGCGCACCTTGTCAACCGAATTGCGATATGATGGACGATAAAAGCACGATAACAATAGTATCGCCGCAGAGCCTTCACTTCGCCAAAACCCATCTCTCACACACAAGTGACAGCGAAGAGGATGACGAGGAGTACTATCAGGTATCTCAACTTAAATCAATAATGTAAATCGTTTTCGAGCGATAACATACTTTGATAATATAGGTTTATCCACCAATAAATTATCTACATTTTACATTATTCATCCTAACAGTAAAAAATACTTTGTATTTTGTTAAAATTTTTGTATATTGAATGTTTAACATAGTGTTAATTCAACATTAGGTAATCGGAACTTATATGACCTACCTACTTTATTTATATGACTTAAGTTTTACTATTTTTTATAATTTTTTGCTGAGCCCAAAATTGAAAACTGATCAAATATTTACATGGTTGCAATGAAAATTTTAAGAAAAGGTAGCATTTAGGTCATATTGGGTTTATATGTACATATATTTTTTTTTCTAATTAAAACTAGAAAAAATAAATGATAAATTAAATCAAGATAATTATCTTATTTTACATTATGCATTGATGGAACTTAGCCAAACTAATGATATCTATTGAATTCACTGTATAATTACAAAAACAACAAATAAGACTACTAGGTACTAGGCCACATTAAATATTTTACTTATAAACAAATGTGAGCAAAATTGACGATATTCATACGCTTGTTATTTTAATATATCGATTCCATTAACCTGTTGTCGTCATCGTCGTTGTCACTTGCTTCCAGAATATGGAAATTGAGGAATACGGTGTGGTCTGCAAAGGGAAGGAAGCGACCTTGCATGCGTCGAGACAGGGATTGCCGCCGACGCCACCCAGTAGCGCAAGCTCTGACAGCGAGGGTACTGCTTCGGCTTCCTGTTCGCCGGAACGCCGAGATTCTCAGACTTGTACACAGAATCTCAGGGGTTTACTGGCACCGAGGCTTTACGTCACCAACAGCACTCACACTACCAGACAACCCATTCATACGCCTTTGATTTCCTGTCAGCCGGTAAGACACACTCGTGAAGAGTTAATGTGATTTCTGATGAGTTATTGTTAAGCGAGTTAACGGCGTGACCCATTATTAGATTATTTAAGTAAATGATATAACATTAAGAAGGGAAAACGAGAATCTTGACGAAAATTTGCTTTCGATATCTAGTTATGTAAAAGAAAGGAATTTCATGAAGAAATTTCATTATTTTTCTGCTATCAATATGGAAATGTTTTACGCGAAAACTATAAATAATTTACGTTTAAAAAAAATCATTTATAATAATTAAATGCAGTTCTTATCTTCTTCTTATATTTTTTATATACGCCTATGTTAGCCTTATTATTAAATAATTTCATAAAATAACTTTAGGATACATACATATATTAAAAAATTTTTTTTTTTCGATATTCTATTATAGTTCTGATGCATCATATTTCACGTACTCTATATCCCAGTCGCGTACCATTAGTCAGTAAAATGATTGAATTTGCATTAACAAATTTAAAATTTCTTTTATGAACGAGTTTCACTTGTTTCACGTTTATTATTGTCTTCGTTTATTCTTGTCTCTGCAGGATGGTGATCCATTACTGCTGTTATATTTATTGATCCAATGTATTAGCGTGATGCACTTACGTGCGATTGACATTACAGAAAGGATCTACGGGAGTGTTAACATTGACGGAAGAAGAAAAGAGAACTTTGATAGCCGAAGGATATCCTGTGCCCACGAAGCTTCCACTAACGAAACAAGAGGAAAAATCTTTAAAGAAAATACGAAGAAAAATTAAAAATAAGGTACGTATAATAGGATCTCGAACACTCCAATTTTCTCAAACGTTATCCAAGCTAATGCGAAATTATAAATGCGATGAAAATCACTGATTTTGTGCGTATATTTTTTACAGATATCAGCGCAGGAATCACGAAGAAAGAAGAAGGAATACATGGATGGTTTAGAGAGGCGGGTCACCATGTTGACGAACGAGAATTCCTCTTACAGAGACAGGCTGAATTCTCTAGAAGATACGAATCGCGAGCTAGTGAAGGAGTTACAACGTCTTCAGGCCTTGCTGCAGCTACAACAATAGATTTATTCATTTCTATCTATAGAATAGCCTAAATTTGTCTGATATCATTAAATTTTTATTTTTAAGAAGACTTAACATTAATTGATGTTAAGTATAATTATTCTCCCTAAAAATGAATATTTGATCTGACGAATATTGCAACGATTTGCGATAACGCATGAAACAATTTCATATTGTTACGGAGATTACAAATTATAAAGTTTTGAAAAATATTTTAGATTTTCAGATCTTTTATAGATACTAATATAGATTTATCTATAATCGTCAAATTGCTCTTCCATACAGAAACTTTAATCCTTACAATTGTTATGAGAATGGCGTGTTTTACTCGCTATATATAAGTCACAGATCAGAGTTAAAAAGAGACATACTTTTAGGGATTAGTGCAATTTCTTTACATTCCTAGAATGTCTTCCTTACATACAAAATGCGATGAAGTATCTTGCAGCGATTGAAAATTTATTAATCCCAAATGCTGCAAACTGCTTCAATTTCTTTAATAACAAGATTTTACGCCAATGTAATAGTAAGTCGATATATTCTTCGCTAAATATTTTTGCAACATATTTTTGCCAGGAGTGCCTTCACGGATTTATTTCTATATTTCTTCCAGCTTTGCATACCGGAAAACGTATAGAAGGCTAATTTCTTGCAATTATATATTTGACTTGAACTTTTTAATTTTAATAAAATAGAAATATTTCAGAAATATAGGATTCGAATGTTCCATCCGCAATACTTGTTGCGGAAAGCAGTTGCCGGCTATTGCCAAACTCGATGCAACGATAATTTTCGAATAGACGGTCAGGTATAAACGGCTTTTAATTATTCCCTATATTTGTGCTTCGAAAACGGCGACAACGTTTTAAACGGATCCGTTTAGGATACGAAAAAAAGTACATTTGGGGTCTATAATAGCGTATTATATATCGGTACATAATCTACTTTGACTAGTTTTGTCATTTGATTTGCCCATATATAAAACGAAATACATATATATAATATATGACATATTTTATAGGTAAAAAAAGAAGAGAATATGAAAGTACGATGATTATTATTATTATTATTATGTAGAAAAGTGTAACGTGAAAGTTCGATGCAATCGAAGTTATTGTGTTTGCGTTTTACAAGATGATATTCTGTTTATTGTATGTACAATAAGATTATCATATAGATTGAATTGGAAACAAGTGCGTCGAATCGACGGTGTACTATTTGTTTAGAGCACTATCACTAACGCTAAAACAGGTGTTGGAGTAAGGCTGTAAGATTGCCGACGCGTTAATTCGTTTTAATTCGAAGCGCGAAGTAGAAACGTTTGTAGAATATAAGTTTACGAATGTAGAATACATTTTGCTTGTCCACGAAGAATCATCTATAATTCGCCATTGCGTCTGCAAGCCAATGAAAGTCAATTTTATTCGAGCGGCGAGCTCTAGCTTCATTCTTCTTGACTTATATCGTTATATAGATAAATATATATATATATGATCGCACTGTAGAAAATTGTAGAGTGATATAATTTCAAGCATGATACAATTCTGAACGAAAAGTGAGATTTAAATTCAACTTTCAAGATTTGGTTTTTCCTGTTTGGCGATACCCTTTGGTATCCTCTATATAATGAGATCAGAGTTACCAAACTTAAATCTCGAAATTGGATCAAATCTTATTTCATTCAGAATCATACCATATTCAAAATTATTTTGAACTTTACTCTATAGGATATTGTTGGTTTCCTGATCTTCTCAAATGTGAAGCTGTATTATTTGTGCTGTAAGCAAAACTTTAATCGAGCTAATTGCTACTAAATGTCATTGGTATCACGTGCCAACCAAAATGACTTTTAAATTGTCTTCTTTGCAATTTTGTTTTACGATTAGCGTAGGAAGTTATGATAGCTTGAGAAATGTTATCGCACAATAATAGCGAACTTCTCGATTGCTTACCACATGAAAGTCGTGGAAAGGGACCAATCCATGCAAGATGAGAAGACTTTTTTTTCTTCTCCCTTCCTTTTCGCTTCACGTAATTGCCAAATAAATAGTAGTGTTTAAATAGTAGTGTCGTATCGCGTGTCCAGGAGGTAGTACTTGTATTAAATGGTCACACATCCCTTGCATGAATGTTTATAGAATCTTAGCTATCATTAATATTATTTAAATATACGAAATATGCATTTTGATCGGCCGATTGATGATTTTTTTATCCTGGAAGTCTAATACTGCAGTATGAAATATATTGTAAATAACATATGCATATAGCATGGCTATACGGAATTTTCATATGTTTATTCTTGAGATTTATACATATTATATTTAATTAACAAAAATAAATTATTATGTAGCCACATGTTCGGTAAATTAAAGTCAATTTTAAATTCATCAAAGAAATCTTTTATTGCTAATTTCTTTTTTCCTCTTCTAAGTCATGCTGTATACATGAAAACGCGTAATTTAAAAAAATTGAACTTCAAAATAATTATTTTCAAATGAATTATTTTTAGAGTTTTTGTAAAAATTAATGAAAAGACTTGTTGAAGATATATTGTTAGAAAAACATCAATGAAAAAGTCAATAAACGTAACAAATGATAGTAATCGTTTAATGTACATGAGAGTGTGAAAGAACTTCGGATATATTTCGCGGATTCTACAAGCATTGATCGGCTAAGAATTTTGATTCTTTTATCTACGTACACATAAAACTCACACACACACGATTTTTAATTACCACATTCACGCGTGATAAAGAAATAATTACATGTCTGTACAAAGCAGCAGAGTAATGATTTTTATGAAAACAAAAGAGTTTAATATATTCTATGAGAAAGCTTTATAGATAATTATAGTATACATACACATTTATTATATATTATAAATAATTATATTTTACGACAAATTACAAAAACGTTTGACAATGAAGAAAGTCACATAGTTTTCTGTTGAGATATACAAATTCATAATTATATTACTGTTCTTGTTATCATGATGTATCATTTGTTTCTCATATGCGATGCGAGCGTTCATGCATCTTTGTAGGCATGTGCTTGACGTATATATTTATCCAGCGAGAGAGAAAGAAAGAGAAAGAGAGAGTCCCTATATACACATATATATATATTTTAACAAAGATAACGTGAATATAAATACATATTAGACGCATATCGAATTTACGTGGGCGTGTCTATATTATAAAGCGCGGTGCCACGTCGTCAATGTAACGTGCGGTGCTGCATCTTCGAATATGGATGTTGTCCGACAATAAAAAATAAATCCTTGTGAACCAGCATCAAACGTTTTATTTAATTTACAGATTCGCACTATATGCTATGCACAGTCGAAATTATTTCTTTTTATAAAAATGACTATTTTTATTTACTCTTCCTTTGATTTTAAAGGCAAAAGATTTATCTTTTTACGAAAAAAATGTTACATTTCATATTTAAAAGTATATCCAAACAAATTTGCATATCTGCATGAATGAATGCATAACGTACAAGATATCTGTAAGAGACTCAATCAATCAGAGTATGAAATGAAGGATTCTGATTGGTTCATTTTCTTATGCCTTATGAGTTATATAATAAGCTTTAGGCCATGGCGTACAAAAAACTAAGTAGTAAAACATAAGCAGTATGCGAATTGGCAAATCACCGTAGAGACTGTAAGACAATAATATAAGCAATTGAAAAATTACTTTATTTCTGTTGTAACGAGTTGGAAAAATCACTCGTTACTAAAAAAATTAATTCAGTATTTGTAACTCGTTATTTGTTAGTTACTTATAACGAGGAAACATTATTCGTTATTTGTTATAAATTACTTTTTTCAGTAAATAAACGCAATGATAGAAGTTACCTTTTAAAGTGACTTTCCCAACCTTAGCGCAATTTCAGCGTTTAGTTAGTTATCATTATAGTCATAAAAAATTGCAACATCATTTCAAATTGTTATTATAAAAAGTAACTGCTAAAATAATGAAATAATAATTCTTCCATTGCCTGATTAGGATCATAAAATTTAATCGCAATATAACATATATTAAATATATAAATGAAAACGTAGATTTTTATTTTTGTTACTCTTATTCCTCAGTATCCATCTCCTCATTTTCTAATTGATCTTCTATTTTTCGTTTTAGAGCAGTGAGACTGAGAGGCGCATCTATATCGAGAATTTTATCTTCTTTCGCCTTGTCTCTCTTAGATCTGTATAAAGGATTTTCGAATCTGCCAACCGCGATTTGCTTTATCCCCCCGACGTTATCGTCAGCCTCTCGGCCGCTCGTTCCAGGAACGTTGCCAATCTGAACGTTGCCCTCAGGAATATTCTCAAAACGGGCGAAACCGTGCTTCTGCTTGTCCGCCCGAATTCCATCTCGAACGGATGAGACAGCTTCCATACATCCAGAGAGAATTCTGCAAAAATTAGATTTCGTCTCAACAAAATTGATAAATATCTAAAGTACGACGCGCACTAAAATACTTCTTGTACATCTGAAATCAATAATAATCGTTAACATATCAAATAAAAAATAGTTTAAAGCAGAACAAAAAAAAACTGAAAATGAAGTAAACGAGATTAAGTTATGCATGCAATGTCTTGCAATATTTTGAGGAGACGTCTTTCTTATTGTTAGATATAAAAACCATATCGTTATAGCGCAAATGAAGTGGAAGTTTCGATCTGAAAAATTTCGGCATTAAACAGGATGTATTTGGCAAGCCGAGAAAATTATACAGCAGCCAATTCCATTTAATTTGAGGCCTGCTGAGAGCAATAATAAATCGACTGGTAGGCCCGTCGAGCTAATTAAATGCTAGACAAGGAGCGAGGCGCGCAGGACGGTTCGTAGCAAGTCGCGAAACGACGATGAAGAAATTAGCGCCGGAAAACGTAAAATGAAAGAACGGGAGTAAGTGCACTGGAGTTGCTAAACTATCGTTATTCTGTCCTACTTTGCGAATTAACTCAATTTTACACCCATTGTCCGTCGTTCCAACAGCATCCCTTTCCCTTCCACTGTCAAATTCGCAACTCACATCCTCCTCTTTCTTTCTTTTCCTTTCTTTTTTTCTTACCACAATTTTTAATGTTATCTCTATATTTTCTTTTCTTTACATGTCTTATTTTTTGTGACTTTATATTATTAATTTTGTTTGC